TTTTGATATACAGTGGCGAAAAAACAAATAGGATCGGGAAATTTTGGCAAGTTTTATCTATTTTGCTTGTGTTTATTTAATTTTTATTATTTCTGTAAAAGTATAGCTCGTTATCTAACAAACTGAAAGCCCTAATTTCCATCTTTGTGGAAAAATTGGAAAATTTAACAAAGTTATATGAAAATCTTAGTTTAAGCCATTCAACTTTAGTACAATAAAGTGCAAGTTTGAAGTGAGTAGGTCTTACCTTTGATTTTTTCATCTTGTTTTGCTGAAGCCGTTGCTCATTTTCTCCATTGTCGGGCATTCCTTGTAGGGAAAAGAATGCATGGCACCGCCGACAAAAAAAAACTACCAAAAATCAACGGTATTTTGTAGCCGTTTCAAACTTGCACTTTGATAACTAAAATTGGGGAATGTTTAGTAGGGCTCACATCGTTTTTGGGGTGGGGGCGAAGGGGGAGGGGGCCCAAACTCCCCCCAATAGAAAGGGGACAGTCCCCGTTTTCTAAAAAGGCGTACCCCCCCTTGGGCTTCTCCCACAGGCTCCTAGGGAACCGTTTGAAAAAGGGGGAAAACGGAATTTTCTTAGGCAAACTGAGCAGTTTGAAGTGGAATATGACCCAACTAACAGAAACCGTGGGATTTTTTAATAAAAAAAAATTATGGCAACTTAGATATCGGGAGATTTTGAATAAAGAAGAAAAAAGTTAATTAGAAATAGAATAAACAAGTTTTTATAAAAAAAAATTTTCTTTTTAACATATGTATTTTTGCGTAGAATTCCTTTCTGCGTAGGCGGCCTTCGGCCGCACTTAGGATTTATAACCCTCAGGCAGTAGAATTCTCCTTTCAGTGTTGCCAAAGAAGGGGGGGCTGAACACCTTTTGCAGAGAACACCTTTCTGCGTAGGCGGCCTTCGGCCGCACTTAGCGGTTATAACCCTCAGGCAGTAGAATTCTCCTTTCTGTTTTGCGAAGAAAATGAGCTGAACACCTTTTGCAGAGAACACCTTTATATATTTTAAATGCTTACTGGGTTATATCCTATCTTCTTTTGTCTCTCATTCTTTT